CGAGCCCCGCCGCTGGCGCTTGAGAGGCGGCTCAGGGCTCTTGGAGGCGCCGGCCGCGACGCAGCTGGTGCCGCCGCGGCCCCCGCTCCGGGGCTGGAGGAGTGGCGTCTCCTCGTCCGCCATCTTGGAGCAGGAGCAACCGCTCCTTCCCCCTCCTCCTCCTCCTCCTCCTCCCCCCCGGCCTCCTCCGCCCAGCCAGCAGCGGCGCCTCCGCCGTCGACAGGCCCCCTCCCCCACCTCGGGGAGAGATTTAAACGCAGCACGTGACCTCGCCGACGCCCACGCGGGCAGCCGCCCAGCTCCGGGCCGCAACAACAACAAACCGGGTCACGTGATGCGAGGGCGCGCGAGCGAGCCGCGGCGGCCGACGCAGAGCTCGGCTGTGGGAGCTGCGGTCACGTGACGCTCCTCCGTCTTCTCCGCCTCCGCTGCAAGCGTTAAATGCGCCTGTTATTAAAAATGGCTTTGCGCGCGCCCATGCGGACACAGCAACTGCTGCGTTCCATTGTTTCTGAGGAGAAAATCCCATAGAAACAGTGGGCCTTACTCCTGAGGAAATAGGGACTGGATCAGGCAGCGAATTGTTTTGTTAATGAACCTTTACAGCTGTGAAACGCCCAAATGGTATTTTACAGGTGTAAAAAAAAGGGGGGGGGTCGGGAAGGAAGCTCAGAGCGTTTCAATGCGAGCCAGGGAGCATGCTTTAAGCAAAGCCAAAAGTCCCTCGCTTGCCTGGTCTTTTGACCCAGCTGCCTGCCCATCCCCACTTTGTATATGCCAGGCATGCAGACACTCTCTCCAAAAGCGGGATATTGGCTCCGTGAACTTCTGTCCCGTGATACCTCTTCTCCTCTCAGGTGTCCTAAGCCCCCCTTTCTTTTTCCAAGGTGGAGCATTAGTCCTGGGAACAGGACAGAATCCCCTGAATGTTTGGTTGCCTGATTTGTGGTGGTCCATGGCTTATTGTGGGGGTTAGAGCTCCCAAAGAATCATCAGTAATAATAGTAAGGTAAAGGTTCCCTTGCTCGAAAGCCAGTCAAATCCGACTCTAGGGTTGCGGTGCTCATCTCCATTTCAAAGCCGTAGAGCCAGCGCTGTCCGAATAGGTTTCTGTGGTCATGTGGTCGGCATGACTAAACACCAAGGCGCATGGAATGCTGTTGCCTTCCCACCGAAGTGGTCCCTATTTATCTACCTGCAATATCTTGCTTTCGAACTGCTAGGTTGGCAGGAGCTGGAACTAGAGACGGGAGCTCACTCCATCATGCGGCACCGGGTCTCGAACTGCTGAACTACTGACCTTCCACAGCCTGCAGTTCAGCGTCTTAACCACTTGAGCCACCGCAGTAGGATTCCCAAATAAGGAAGTGGGAACCAACTTTGACTTCCTCAAGTAAAGAGGAGCAGAGGCTACCAAGGAAGGGTCAACTGAGGGGAGGAGCATTCATAGACAGAAGAAGATTGTTACTTGAAACAAAGAGGTTGGGAGTTTGCTCAAGCTTTTCCAAATTCATTATTGCTCCTGCTTTATCAAAAACTGGCCCCTTGTATGAGGGTTGTAATGTATCCATCTCAGACCGCATGCGCGGCCATTTCACCACGCGGTCATGCGAAGCAACCAAGTTTCGCTCTCAGTAACAATGGGACAAGCGGATCCTATCTGGCACCTGTCGGAAGGCTAGGCTCCTGGCCGAGAGCCTATGGAACTCTCGGCCACTGTAAATGGCCAATCACTTGTGTGTGGGTGTGTTTGGGGTGCGTGGTTTTGCACATATAAACCAGCCTGCGAGCTGGGTACTCTCGTCTTCTTCTGAGCTGAAATAAAGTATGAGAGCTGAAATCACTAGTGAGTTTCAGTACTTTTCAAGGGTGTAATGATATTCTGACTTGTTCTGGTATGTGGAATGAAGAAAAGCCTAATTTCCCCCCCTGAATTAATAATAAGGTAAAATAAAGGCAGTGGTCTTAAGCCAATCTATTGGGAAAGAAATCCCAATGAAACAAATGGAGTTTACTTTGCGGGGAAGATAGGATTGGGCCAAAAATCAAGTGGATGCTGGCTGGGGTTGATTTCTTTTGCCCAGTTTGCCCAGTGAATTGCCTCATTTCTCTTGTTTTGTCACTCTTAGGGTGCGTTCAGACAGGGGCTTTATACCAGTTAGGGTGCCAGTTCCAACCATTGTACTCACCGGCGTTCAGACGGGGCACATCTGCCTCCTCTCCCTTTAAACCGTTGCACTCTGCTACCAGGTCCCCAAGTGGTGGTATACAGAGTGCAACGGTTGTAAACGGTGCACCCAGGCGTCTGATCGCTCTCCACCGTTCCCCAGCTACTTCCATCGGAAGCCTGAGGCTTCCGGCTTTCCCCAGCCTTTTAAAAAAAAAAAACTTAGTGATATGCGCTCGGACGAAGCTTCGCCCTGAGCATTTGTTAAAATTAAAAAAAAAAAGCCCCTACTTACCCGGAGGAGTCCGGGACTACAGGGAGGCCAGGTTGGGCTTTAAACTTTAAAGGTAAGTCCTTACCTTTAAAGTTTAAATGTAATGGGGGGGTTTGAGCATGCGCAAAGATCGCCATTCTGTGAATGGCTGCCTATGCTCATGCTCAAACTGCGCTTAAAAAAAAAAAAAAACTCAGATGCCCGCAGCGTGTGAGCGGGCGTCCAACGGAGGGATCCGGAAGATGGAGGTAAGTGTGATCACGTTTCTGCCGGCATAAACTGCACCCGTTCCAACCGGTGCAGTTTATGCCGGCAGAAACGCCCCGTCTGAACGCACCCTTAGTGTGGCAATATGGTGCCAGAGGAGGCTGCAGTAGAAATAGAGCCCATTGACACAGTTTAGGGAGAGGGCAACAAAGTGCTCAGGTTAACTAACGTACTGGCTTGGAAAGGAGGAAAAGAAAGAGGGCTGCCAAGAATGGGATTAGCTGTCTCCTAGGTGTGGCCCTTGTTTATGAAAGTTTAGGCAAACAAGCAGAGGAGTTTGGTGATGGGGCTGACATAGTTGCAGGTGCCATCATGACATCATCAAAGCTGCAGTCAGAGCAATTTATTTCAGTGTGTCAGGTACCTGTTTTTCAGGTTTATCTTTAAAAATAGCTTTGTATAGTCACTCTGGGCATCTTCCAAAAATATGTGGACCAGCATGAATCTGCTGAAAGGCATGTTTGCCTGAGCTAGTTCTTGCCTGGATGTAGTGGAAAATGACTGAGATGCCAGATGCTGTGTTTTTTTCACTAGTAATGGAGACACAAGCATCGCCATTGTAAGGCCTGCCCACTGGTGTGTTGCTGGCAAATCACAGGCATAAAGCTGCTTGGTACCCTATGCTCTCAGCAGAGTACATTCAAACAAAAGCCATCTCCCTGAAGCAGAGAGTGTAGCAACTGCACTGGAGTCCATAGCAATACTGCCTGCACCCACCAATTATGGATCAACATACTAACATGTAGGGAAGCAGCCCTTCAACGTGTGCCAGCCCGTGTCCTTGATATCACCTTGTCACTGCAACCTATGGAAGGTAATAAGGAAAGGAGACACAACATCCTCAACTGCAGGTCAGGCTGTTAGCAGGCCCTGTAGATGATGAGGCACCACCCTCCTGCCAGACACTTTGGACAGGTTGACACATAGGGAAGGGAGTCTGGCCAATCTAACCATAACCTCCAGAACCTACCACAGATAAGGATTCAGGTCATAAGGGGCAGAATGCACTAAAGAGCAGCTTTTCCCCCCAAGGCAAAGGGGGCATGGATAGTTAAGGCAGTACACAACAGACCATCCGTTGAAAGGCTTCCTGACATCTCTGCAGTAGCTCACTGAGCAAAATATTCAAGTAGGGAATGAATCAAGCTTTCAAATTCTATCCCAGGGAAGCTGTGAGTCAGGAAAAAGCTCCCTGTTTAGCCCGCAGCAAGCTGATCAATAGCCCTGACCTGGATGGTCGAGGCTAGCCCAGTCTGGTCAGACCTCGGAAGCTAAGCAAAGTCGTCCCTGGTTAGTATTTGGATGGGAGACTGCCAAGGAAGTCCAGGGTTTCAGGAAATGGCAAACCATCTCTGTTCATCTCTTGCCTTCAAAGCACCGTAAGTCAGTTGCAGCTTGATGGCACTTTCCACCACCACTAAGCTGACCAACAGCCAAAGAGGAGGGCAAGGCAGAACGTGAACCTACACTTCACACTTGGAGTATTTGGAACCTGTGAAGGTTCTGAGCAGAACACTGTTAGCAATAGTGCTGTATCAATATTTGTTCTCCTCTGTGGCTGCTTGTGCAAAGGTCTCACCATCTGTAAGTTTGAACCTTACCTACCATTCCAATGTATTTGAAAAAGTCTCATACCTTGAATAAAACTTTGTTGGTCTTAAAGGTGCCACTGGAGTCTAAATTTGTTCTTTTTTTTTACATTTCCCATCACCAAACTCCCACCATTTGTATTCTAAATGTCATGAATCATAATGTGAGGGCAGAGATGGGGCCCCCATGTCTTGTGGCCTATGAATGTCTTGACTACGGTTTATACGAAAACTTAGGGAAGCTCTGATTGGCTGCAGGACATAGGTGGCATTCTTAGTGACACTGTGGTTGTGTAGGTGTGTTGAGAAGCAGTGGGGGGAGCAGTTGTTTTTAAATTCACTGGGCATGATTACATTGAAGTTAGCTTTTTGGCTAACCTCATGTTGTGCTAGCGCCTGGGACAGGATATCAGCTGAAGGAGTTTAGCATATTGATTAAGCCTTGCTCTTCACCCAACTTGCCTGTTTCCAGGCCCTATTGTGGCACCAGGTTTATACCAGTGGGGTGCAACTTTGATGCATCTCCCAATATGCCTTTGAATGTCCAAGTTATGGCATGAGCTTAGTTGCAACCCTAAACAGTTAAACTGGGCTTAAACCCTGAGTGCCTCAGTAAAGAAGTGCCAAGATACCATCAAGGTATTCCTGAGGCCCAAAATATCCCTCACTGTAGCTCTTACTCTGTTGCTCTTCCTGAACTTTCAGGTTGTTTTAACTCTGGGTGCTGCTAAATGTGCAGATTTCTAATTATTCTCCATGTTTACCATTAGACACCTCATTTTTTTTTCTCCCATCATCCTGATTAATTCTAAATCATATTGAAACA